GCACGGCTCAGGTCTGTGGGTCAGGGGCAGCTTTCGGGGCGCTCGCAGCCGGGTCCTGCTCGCCGGCTGCCGGTGCTCCCATGGATGGGAGGGGGAAGAAGTTGTTTTCAGGGGAATGCCCAGAAGTTTTGAAAACCCCGTCCTTGGCGATTTGCATATTTCATGCAAACACTTGCCAGGGTTGGAATAGAGACGCGCTGCCTCGCCGGCCTTTGAAGTTTATTGAGCAAGCTGTCTCTGCACGGTGGGGGCAGGGGGGGCGGCTTCCAGGGCTCAGGGAAACAGCCCCATCCCGCAGCGAGCAGGCGGGGAGCTGCCAGCCCCAGCCCCAGCTATAAACTTTTTTATGAAGCTGAACAAACACGCTGCCGTGTAGCACGTGGGCTTCGGGGACAGGAAGCAAAGGGAGGGGTGGATAACAGCAGTTGGCTTTGGGCAGTGGAGAAAATGAAGGCTGTGGGATGCCTGTTCAGAAACCACGTTATACTGTCGGCGTAGTTTGCCTTCCAAGCGGGATGTGGGAGCAGTAACGGAGCTGACGGAGCTGCTTAGGATGCGGATGGCGTCACCTCCCATTTCCTTTTTCTCTCCCGTTTTCCTTTTCCCAGAAATCAGGGGAGCTGGTTGCTGTGAAGGTCTTTAATAACGCCAGCTACCTCCGGCCCCAGGAGGTCCAAATGAGAGAGTTCGAGATGCTGAGGAAGCTGAACCATAAAAACATTGTCAAGTTATTTGCTGTGGAGGAGATGGTAAGCGGGACCTCCGCTCGGAAACCCGCCATGCCGACTGGGCCAGTGACTCGGGGGAGCTGGTCGGAGCTGCGGGAGGGGAGCAGTGGTCCTGGGCTGCCTTCTCCTCCTCCCAGCTCCACACCAAGCCTCAGCCCAGCCCTTCAGCACTGGTGGCACTGGGTCACTGGGCTGGAGCACAGACGTGACCTGCTCTTGTCCCCTGGGCCAGGCACGTGGCACAGCGGGGACATTCTCCAACGTTGGTTTGTCCAAGCAGGAGAAAGCCAGGGACCCACCAACCAAGGGAGGGGACCTGGTCCTGCCTGGGGTGGGGACAGGCCCCCGGCTGGGACATGGGGCCAGGCAGCGATGCTGAGCGCTTTGTGAGCAGCCGAGCCCTCACGGCTGCTCCCCGCAGGGCAGCAGCAAGCAGAAGGTGCTGGTGATGGAGTACTGCTCGAGCGGCAGCTTGCTGAACGTGCTGGAAGACCCGGCGAACGCCTTCGGCTTGGCTGAGTCCGAGTTCCTCATCGTGCTGCAGTGCGTGGGTGAGTGTGGGGGGGGGTCCCTGCGCCCCCAGCCTGGGACGGGCGGCTGTCGGCCGTCGCAAGCACAGCCTGGGGCCGAGGAGCTGTGGGCTGGGGACCCTGTGGGCACCAGCCCTGGGCTATGGACGCAAGGGCTGGGCTGAGCGGTCAGTAATTGCAGCCCCGAGGGGGTGGGTTTGTGAGCTCCTGCTCACTGGGGGTTTTTCCTTGCAGACCTGCTCTGGGAAGCGGCCGTGGGATGTGGGAGCACGAGGGCGGTGGCCTACCTTCCGCTTGCTTGCCCTCTCTATTCCCCCCAGTCACGTTGGTCCCCATTTAAATCCAACCAGCCCTGGGGCTCATCCCCCCTCTGGCCCTTCTCATGTTCCTATGTTTAAACAAAACACGCTGGAGCAAAGTGCTCCAACCCCGCGCACAAACGCTGCCTCCCCCCTTGTGCCCAGTGGCAGGGATGAACCACCTCCGTGAGAACGGCGTTGTCCACAGGGACATCAAACCCGGCAACATCATGCGGCTGATGGGGGAAGACGGGCAGAGCATCTATAAACTGACGGATTTTGGGGCCGCCCGAGAGCTGGATGATGATGAAAAGTTTGTGTCCGTCTACGGGACGGAGGAATATCTCGTGAGTACAGCGTGTCACCAGTCTGGTGGCCCCTGGGGGCCATCCCTCCATTCAACCGGTCCCCATCCACCTGGTCCCCATCCCTCCACCCAACCGGTCCCCATCCACCTGGTCCCCATCCCTCCATCCAACTGGTCCCCATCCACCTGGTCCCCATCCCTCCATCCAACTGGTCCCCATCCAGCTGGTCCCCATCCAGCTGGTCCCCATCCCTCCATCCGACAGCTGGGCAGCTTGTAGAGAGCAGCAGTGACCTGGAGAGCCGCATCTCAAAGGGGCCACATTTTTTTGAAGGCGGGGGGACACACACATATTTTTTTGGAGGATCCGGCAGTAGTAGAAGAGACCAAAGCGAGCAGTTTTCAGTCCCAGCGCCCAAGGCTCATCGCCCACTGCAAACCCGCTGGGCACGTTGCCAGTGCTGCTCTCTGCTTCATCCCCGCAGCACCCAGACATGTACGAGCGAGCGGTCCTGCGCAAGCCACAGCAGAAGGCGTACGGCGTCACCGTCGACCTCTGGAGCATTGGTGTCACCTTCTACCACGCTGCCACCGGCAGTCTCCCCTTCGTCCCCTTTGGGGGACCTCGCAAGAACAAGGAGATCATGTAGGTGCCCCAGCTGGTTGGGAGGACTGGGTGCTGCTTTGTGGGGAGCTGGGACCGTGGCTGGTGGCCCTGGGGGGCTGCAGGGCAACCTGGCTGTGGCTTGGTGCGTGCCAGCAGCACCGCGTGTCTATGAGCTGTAGTTTGCTGCTCACTTAGTCCCATAGCGCCTAGAAAGCCCTGAAATGTAGATCCCGTACTCTGCGCTATGGAGAGCGTGCATGTGCAGTGCGGTAAAGGATTTGTGCTCCATTTGCCACATTTGCCCTCAAAATGCATCCTCGTGACTTTGTGGCTAAACAGCTGGAAGAGGAGGCAGGGTTAATGCTTGCCTGAAACTTTTTCACTGTTTCTTGAAGTATTTTCCCCCTGTGCAATTTTTTCTTTCTGTGTCTTTCCCAGCCCATCCATGTTCTGCCCTTTCCCCTTTGCTGAACCCGCGGGATGTAGTACCCAAACAGAGGACGCTTGGCTCATTTCACCTGTGAGCAATTTCCTTTTAACAGGTATAAAATTACCACTGAGAAGCCTCCCGGAGCCATTGCCGGGGTGCAGAGGCAGGAGAATGGGAGCATCGAGTGGAGCTACGAGCTGCCCGTCACCTGCCAGCTCTCCGCGTGAGTGTCCCTTGCCAGGCTCGGCTCTGGCTGCGGGTCTCCTGTCCTGGCACCACGGCTGGAGAGGGCATCCCACCTCAGATGGCTCAGGACATTTTTTAATGAGGCAGATGAGCTTTTCATCTGCAGGTGTCCCAGCTCTCAGACCAGGTCTTTGCTTTACAGCTGGGACAAGGGGGTGTGAGACGGGGCAGTGGCTCTGTCAGTACAGGAGCTCCGCTGCAGAAGATGGGCTGTGCCTCTTCCCAACCCATGGGCCACCGTGTTTATGGCTCAGGGTTATGCCAGACTGGGCAACCATCTCCTCTTCTGCTGCTGCAGGGGGCTGAAGGACCAGCTGATACCCATTTTGGCTAACATCCTGGAGGTGGATCAGGAGAAATGTTGGGGATTTGACCAGTTTTTCGCAGAAACCAATGACATTTTGCACAGGATTGTGGTTGATGTCTTCTCCCTGCAGCAGGCTTCCTTGCATCGCATCTACATCCACGCCTACAACACGTAAGGATGCCAAGGCTGTGTTAAAAGCGAATTTGGGTGTGGAGCTCAGGAGCCTCAGCCCCTCGTTTCAGTAGGTGAACTGAGGGGGAGTGCCCGTTCCCTTTGCACTGTGGTTAAGCCAAGTTAAAACAAAGCCGGCCCAAACCTTTGCTGGGGAGTGCACTAAGTGGGAGCTGTCGGCTCCTGGCATGGTATTAATAACACAGAGAGCCCAGGAAGGTTGTCCAAGGGGCTCTGCTGACCCTCTGGGGTGTTTTGCTGTGAGAAGAGAGAGGCAGGCTGTTAGAGATGGAAATCTGAGCGCTCGCCTCCTTGCTTATTCCCCATCCTTTTGTTTCTTTTTCATTTCAGTACCACCAAGTTTTTAGACGCTGTCTTCAAGCAAACAAATATAGTCCCTCACCATCAAGAATATTTCTTTGAAGGTCATCTGTATGAGTTGGATCCTAATCTACAAGCTCATAATTTCTGCAAAACCACAGAGCACAACCCTCTGACCTTGCTGAGCTCCGCTGAGCAACCAGAAGACGTGGTAGGAGTCAGATACAGAGACCGTGAGTACCGTGGGCTTGGAGATGCCTCACGGCATGCATCTGGGGATGGGGTGGGGGCCACAAGAGAGATTTGCTGAAATTATTATCCTAATCAACTCCAATGCACTGCAGGAGGTAGAGGGGTTGTGATGCTGGAGCAGGATTAGGAGGTTTCAGGGTCAGTTTTCCCCTGCCATGTGCTCTTGCTCTGTAGCCACCCACCAGGCCAGGCTTTGCTGGTGTTTCATGCCTTTGTCCACATTTCCAAAATATCTTGGAGAGCTGCACTGAGCCCCCAGCATTGCAGCTGCTCCTGGGCCTGAAATCCTGAGCAGCTGCAGGGTTTGCTTCGGTGGGCATGGGACATCGCCGTGGGTCTGCAGCCGCAGCTCGGGGGCTCCGGGCTGGCTCCCCCAAAGCACTGTGACCGCTGTCTGTCTTTCCAGCGGCACTTGAGTTTCCCAAGTTTGTCCCCAAGGTGGATGTGGTGGCCGATTGCAGCGCAGCCAAGGTAGGTGGGGGTGCCCGGGCAGCCCCCGGGGGAGCCCCGGCAGTGGAGGTGCAGCCCCCGGCACTGCCCTTTGCTTTCCAGAGTGCGGTGGGTGCCGCGCACCAGACGCTGCGGATCGCCCAGGCCCTGCGGCGCTGCCGGGAGCTGCTGGTGAGAGGTCTCCACTGGGTGATGTGAGTGCCGGAGCCACCGCGGTTGCAGGCGGCGGTGGGGGGGGGGCGGGACCCCCTCCCTTCCCAGCACTGCGAGCTTTGTGTGTTAAGAGTGAAACTGCTCGGGGTTTTCCAGCCTCTTCCAGGCAGTGCAGCACCACTGGGTACCCTCACGGGGTACTGGGAGGGAGCACGGCACGGTGTCCTGTACAAGGGACACTATGGGGGACGCGTGTGCCAGGCTGCGAGGGGCCTGGACCCAGATAAGGACCTGTAGGGAATTACCACTCGGTGATGTGAGGATGCTCCTGCCCCCACTTGTTACTTTTAAGTCACTTTTTTAGGTTTGGGAGATGCTGAGGAAAACAGCACTGTTGTTATTACTATTAATATTATTAAAGCTCTTCTCCCAGGTAATGGGTGATGGGACGAGGGGAAACGGCCTCAGGTTGTGCCAGGGCAGGGTTAGGTTGGATATTGGGAAAAATTCCTTCCCCAAAGGGCTGTCAGGCACGGGAAGGGGCTGCCCAGGGAAGGGGTCGAGTCCCCTGGGGGGATTTAAAAGCCAGGCTAGACGTGGTGCTTAGGGCCAGGGTTTGGGGGTGGGATGGCAGGGGTAGGGGAATGGTTGGGCTGGGGGAGCTTAAAGGGCTTTTCCAACCCAAACAGTTCTGTGATTCTATGATTATCATTGCGTATTTTCACTGCCCTCCCTGTGTCCCTTGGGGCAGGAGCCTCCTGTGCAGTGGCAGGACAGCACCCAGTGGGCAAGCCCCCTCCTGCCCAGAGCTGCCCCCAGCTTTACGTGCCTCCAGCCCCCCATTTTTTCATAGGCAGCCAGAGAGGAGGCACCGGCTCCATCCTAACCCCCCCGCCGCACATGTGTGGCCCTGGGATGGAGGTCGGGCTGCCGGGGAGCACGCGTTGGACGGGCTGTTTTCTCTCTTGGCAGCGGGAACCTGAAAACGGAGTGCTCGAGGATTTTGGAGCAGAGGAGAGGGGCGCTCTCGGTGCTCAGCTGCCTGCAGCTCACTGAGGTGAAGACCCGCGTGCTGTAAGTGTGGCTCTGCAGCCGCGGGGATGCGGGCGCTGGGCTGCGCCAGGCACTGGCGGTGCCCTGGGGCTGCTGCTGATAAGATATGGGACTCTTAAAGGTGCCTGATTAATCAGAAATAAGTAAAGTTCCAGGCATAAGCTGGTAGCTGGAAGGTAAGAGGCTTTTTCACTGTATGTGGAGGCTGCAGCAAACAAGCCACCCTGGCTGTTTCTCCCTCTTTGCTTCAGTTTTTAGTGATCAATCCCCCGCTTCATGGGAGCCCAGAATTAGTCCTTGCTCCCCGGCTCCTGATCCATCGTTTTGAGACTGTTACAGCCCATGAGCTACAGAGCCAGCGCGAGGCGGCGGCAGCGCTGCTGCTGCCAGCTTGTGGGAAAGGGAAAAAA